CTGACTAGGCAACCCATAGGACGCATGACACAATCTGACTAATTAGACCTACCAAGGCACGATCCCCGTTCTGAGACATTAACCCACTACAACCCAGTTATGTCACATCAACCGATATGACCTGGTTCCTACACGTTAGCACGCCAAGACCTAGTTCGACACAACAAAGACCCACATCAACCCAAACTCAACCCATGACAAAAATGGCATATAAATGTGAAAGGTGGGACTCCAATGCTGGGAAATAGGATGGAGAAAAAACAACACAGCCTACCGCTCTATTATTATTATTATTATTATTATTATTATTATTATTATTATTATTATTATTATTATTATTATTATTATTATTACGCCGCGTACTCAAATCAGTTGGTCGGACATCTGCTTGTCAGTTGTAAGTCCCCTCTGGTATGGGATTCAATTCCCCTCGAGTGTAGGGTGTGATACTTGAACTCTTAGGCGCATTAGGGATGGTCAGAGCTTGTGTAATAGCCACCGGTCATTCCTTTATAATACACACACACACACATATACATACAAATATAAGAAAATATAAAAAGTGTTCTAAATTTTGGTTTTATTGAATATGAAGTTAGTTACCCGAAAATTGGTGAGCAATTGAACTAATCTGCTCGACAAGACAGACCAAATGATATCAAAATTGAATCAATCCGAGTCAAATCTATCCCAACTCAAGCTTTTAAATTAATTTTAGAAGTTTTCATTGCATAATTGGAAGTACAAATAGAATCAAATATGATAAACTTATAGTTAAATTGAACGTCTCAACGAATTGAATCCAACAAGCCTAAGATCGTTGATTGTGACATCATTAAGACACTCAAATATTCATCGAATGTTGTTAGATATGGAGAATCTATCTGAGTCGTTCGATGGAGTGATTCAACTTCCTTTCCTATTTGCAGAGAGGCATCACGTAGTCTCTATAAATAGAGTCATGCCTCCTCTTACGAGTGGACCTAGACCTTTAGCCAGAAGAAGACTGGAGTTTGGAGAAGGAGCAAAAGCCCAACTTCGTTTATACTCTAAAGATCCGACAAATACCCCCAACTCCTGCAACCGCTGATCATTGTCGACAAGCACCTGCTAGCCATCGTTGACCATCGACAGCCGCCATCTTCTCATTATAGCGAAGCTCAGTGCATAGTCAAAACTTGTGTAGCGGAGCAAGGAGGCACAGTGCGAAGTAAAAAACCGACACAACAGAGTAACAAAGCATCATACGAAGCAGTTCATCATCTCAAAAGTTGTGCAAATCTCGAAGACAGTCTACCAAACTCCAACAACTATTCCCCGTTGTGACCACTCCCTACCATGGGGCGACGAGCTATTCCATACATGACCTTTGTAACTCGAGAACTATGCAATTATCTCTCACATATGGGACAAGGGCCTATACTTGTAATTACTAATTCATTGTACCCTATGATTTTTTCTCTTCTCGAGTATTCCTAGTAAAATTTATGATGTTTTTAACCTTAATTTTATTACCTAAGCGTGTATTGAATTCTCGTGCACTGCTAAGCCAACAATTCATTATTCTATCATTACAAATTCTCAAGCACTAATCAATAAATACATATGCTTGCCATCTAAAAAATATTCTGATTCTTTAAATGACAATACAAATAAAAACATGCCAAAATTTATCCATCCATAAATCCTGACAACATTTTTGGACTATTACATTGTCAAATAACCATTTTCCTTTTTTCTCCTTATAAACAAATCCATTGGTCAAAAGTAGCATTCATGGGAGCTTTCAAAGCATTAAATAAGATATTTTGAACAGCTTCCCTTTTGACCATTACCTCATTGTTGACTGACAAATCATACCGAAAGCACTCTCCAAACCAAAATTTCCCCCATCATTTACTACTCCCCCAACCTCATCCCCTCAAAGATAATTTAAAGCAGCAATTTTTACTACAAACAGAAGAAATATTACAGCCATGAATCAAGAAGAGGAAGAAGAAGAAGAAGAAGAAGAAGAAGGGAGAAAGGAGGAGAAAACACTAATTAGAATCAAACTTATAGTGCTTGTCGACAGCAACAGAGACATCCCAAGTGCAACTCAATCCCTTGGGAAAGAACACCAGATCTCCAGATCCAAACTCCACATACTCTGATGATCCTTTGATGTATGCCTTCACTTTCCCCTTCAGAAGATAACACGTCTCCTTTGCATCATACTTGACCGGGAATTTTCCAGGAGGACAACCCCATCTGTCCACCCACCAAAAACAACTATATCTCTGAAACAGAGCAAGAGAAAGAATGTGAGGAGAAGAAGAGACAGAGCAAGCTTACTTCGGCCATGATTTGATGCCGAGCTCAGCCAAGCGCGACTCCGGCGGCTTTCTCTCAACGCAGATGGAGAGGTTTGAGGAGTCGATGGCCATGTCTTCTTCTTTGCTGGAGCTTGAAGCCATGGCGGATGAAGACGAGGAGGAGGAAGCAAGGAAGAAGACTTGGGCTATTTAGAGGAATCTCTTATCTGCTTTTTTTGTGCAGATACTCTGAAGAGTTATATGGTTTTTATATGATTTGGAAGGGGAGAATATATGCAGAGGAGACGTCAATGGGAGTGATTATTACTTCTGTTAAAAATGTGTATTAATTAGTTTTTGTTTAGGCCTAATAATCACACGTGTCATGAAAAATACAAAAATTGTGTTTGACTGAGAGACTTTGATTTGTGTTTCTCATATGTTGATACTGATCAGGGAAGGCCTTTAAATTTGGATCGTTGCGTCGAGAAATTTTCGACGAAATATAATTATTTAATAGCGTCACTGGTTCGGACGGTGTAGCCGGCGCTGACTTGCAATTTGCGCTGCAAACATAGACTCAAATACAACACAGACCCAAAATTTCTAATCCCGCGTCAATGAGTCTCAGTTGTGTTTCTATTGTGATGAATTTGTCTGATTTCTATGTAAAAATTGAAGTTTAAGTGTTAGATATGTACTTCATAAGAATTGTGTGGTTTGTATGAACAAATTGAATTTTATGTATTAGATATGCAATGCATAAGAATTGTGTGGAATGTATGAACAAATTGAAGTTCATGAGTTATATATGTAATACATACGAATTGTGTGATTTGTATGCAAAAATTAAAATTTTGGTGTTTGGTTTATGCGTAAAAATTGAAGTTTATGTATTCGATATGTGATATATATGAATTGTTTGGTTTGTATGTCATAAATAGAGGTTTAAACATTTCATATGTAATAGATAAGAATTTAGTAAAAGAAATTGACTCACTGATAAGTTCTTGAATGGTGTAGATGAATTTGTGCAAGTGGCATAACAATATAGGATTCACCTTTCAGAAAGTAAATTTCAATGCCCATGTGCGATGTACAAAAATCAAGCGTACCTAGCACGCAATGAAGTCAAGTTGAATCTTTATCAAAAGAGACTTCAGCCCAATTATTGGTATTTCACTATGCATGGTGAGTATGAACCAGAAATTCAGTATGATCATGTTGTTGTTACATCAAATTATGCCCTCTCCAACTTAATATGATCCTAACACATATGAAGAAATGATTTTTGATGCCAACAGAGCTCATTGTGTTGGGAGTGTACTTGAGGATGATCAATCACTAAACTGTGAAGTGCAAAAATTACATAATTTAATGAATGTTGTACAACAACTTTTGTGGAAATGTTGCACAATGCATTCAGAGTTATCAGTAGCGTTGAAAATATTGAGCACTAAATCTGATTATAACATACCCGAAGAATGCTTTAATCAATTAGCAACATTGCTAAAGGAGAATTTAGTTCTATATGACCTTTACAAAATAAAAAATTTAGTATCAAAGTTAGAGTTACCATTTCAGGAGATAGATTATTATGTTAATAGTTGATGATATAATGTAAGGCTAATGTAGTGGAGATAAAAGATAAATTTTTTGGTGCTAAGAGATTCAAACCAAGGGGGCAATAAGTACTAATTAGAAAAATATTTCATGCAAATGTCTCTTCTACTTACTACTCATACCCTAATTTTAAAGACTATTTGCTTATATGCTTACAATTGCTCACATGATATGACATAATACAAGATCTGTTGATATTAATTCTTTAAGTTATCTCTCAGATGAGTAAGCCTGTAAACATTTTGATCGTACTTATCTTGACTTTGCAGCTAAACCACACAATATTATGCTTGGCTTATGTGTGGATGGGTTCACATCATACAGTCACCTCACAGTTCTCTATTCATCTTGATGAGTGATTGTTATGTCTTATAACTTGCCCCCCGATATGTATATAACCACGTTATTTTTATTTCTGACATTGATCATACCATATTCATATTATGCAAAAAGAAAAAAAATGATGTCTACTTAAAACATTTAATAAATTAGCTTCAAATATTGTGAGAAGTTGGTGTTCTAACTTATGATATTTCTACAAAATATATTTTCTACCTTAAATCTATCATTATGTGGATGATTACTGCTTATCTGGCTTATAGGATTATATCTGGTTAGAGCACTAGCACAAAAATAGTTTATCCTTATTTTATTGATTTGTTCAAACCATTCATCTTAAAACATGAAAGAAAAAACTTCTATGTTGATTTCCTTAGAGATTTTTAGCCCATTCATATAGAATTTAGATGTCTTCTTCAAAAATATAGGTCGTTAGGGACTCCCCGAAGCTCGATGTAAGTTTTTTGTTGGGAGTCTTTCCAGCTTTGTAGTTGAACTCCCTTCCCTTCCTTTACAGTGGCATCCTAACCACTTCAGTTGGTATAAGTCACACATCTTAGAGCTCCATGTGATAATCATAGGATAGAGTTTCTTTCATTTGACCTCAACGTCTCCACGGACGACACAATTCACTGATTGTTGGTCAGGAATCTTCGGACGTGTTAGGTCCACTACCTTCACTATCAGGTAGACTTAAGGTCCTAGTAGCTTGGGATGACGGGTCGGTGGTAGCATAATACAACTATATCTACCTTCTAGGGATTACTCCCCCCTCCTTTGACTACCTCTGTTGAGCCCTGTCGTTCCTTTTTCCTTCGTTGATATCATCTTGAAGGCTTAATTATCGATAATTGGCGCTCTTTTTGGATACGACGATTTGTCCTCTACTCTTATGACCTAGATGTGCTTTTACATATCGGGATTCCTCGTCATGATGATTTGATTGTTTAATAGGCTTCGTATAACGATGATTATGTTACCCATGTGAGACTCACTCTCCGTCCCTTGGCTTAACGGAAGCTTTGAAAGCATCAGAGTATTCCCCTGCGAAATAACTATTCTTTGATAGCCATGTGCTAGTTATTACTTTAAATATAAGCAAAACTCCTTGGATCAAGAGCATTCTTTGGCAACCCCAAAGATATAATTAACTAAGTGGGATGCATCCTCTTAGGAGCACTTTAGACCACATAAAAGGTAAACACTCATGAATCACTGGTTATTGGTAGCTTTCATAGTCATTCTTTCACGGATATTTGGCACAAGCTATTTAGGTCAAATTTTGTTTATACGCATATGCTTGACTTATCCTAGCGACTTTTGCAGCACAGGAGTTCTCCATGTTCTCTCTTGTTTGTCCGTCTTTGTCGTATGTCTTGTTTTTCAGTTTTCTCTCTTCCCCGATCATTCGCATGATCCTAAAAAGATACTTATTCAAAAAGGAGAAGTATACGACGATGGGAAAACTATCTACTCCTTCAAAAATAAAAATAGAAATGAATGAAAACATAGACTTTAATGTTTGTACATGGTCCATCATCCTTGAAAAGTTTCTTTATGAAAAATACTTAAATGGCTATCATAATTTAACCTCAATAATGAATCTCATTTTGGCCCTATTTGGATAGCTTTTTTCTCTCTAAAAGTGCATCTATTTGCTAGCTTTTTTTAGCATGTTTTTTTTTTTTTAATTAGTCCAGTGTGTGTTATTTTTTTCTTATAGCATCCATGTCTTATCTTTTTTTGGCTCGAGTATTGGTGGAATTTAAAGTAATTGAGAACTTTGATAAGAAATTTTGGATAATAATAATAATAATAAACTGACACAATGTCATCTTTGAGTGGAACATATTTTTATATAAATGACATTATTTTCTTGGCCATAGGGATTCTCTAAGGTAGATTGATCCTAATGGCTTTTCTTTTGATGATGAGGCATCTTCATCTTCTATTGGAAAAATCTCTCTTTGATTCAAGAGGCATTAAACATAGAGATTCTTATTGATTCACCCCTATAAATCCTCTATTTATACATTCTAACATTGAAGAGTCTATCATTCATTAGACAACTAATTTTTTTTCTATTTATTATAAATTACTCTTGATGATGGATATAATAATTTAAATCAATCATTCTATAGTTCATATCACACTTGCTAGTATGGATCCATACTTAAATAATATATATTCCTCTTAAAAGTTTCATATATATTCAAATAATATATGCTCAAATAATTTATGATTACTTTAACAATACTCAACACACTCATAAAAATATTTTAAATATTGTTAAAAATAAATTTATTCATTTTTTTAAAACATAAAAAATACACTAAATAAAATTTATTTTTAAAAAATAAAAGGCAAAAATTAAAAAATAAAAAATGTTCCCAAGGAGGCCCTAATTAGTATGATATCAATTATTGTTCAATGTTATCTTGTGTTTATATTAATTTGAACAAGTTGTTATGCTAACTAAATTATAATTACATGTGAATCTAATCTTCTCTTACCCACACCCTAAGCATTATTTTATAAATAGATTTGCAATAAGGACGCAACATGCAAGCCATGCAAAATACAATTTTTTTTGTCTTTTTTAAGACTTATTATTACTATTATTTTATTATTAGGAAGAGTTTCATGCAACAACTCAATTTTTATGTATTTACATGTCTACCGCCAAAACTTCAACTTTTAAGTATATATGCGGCCTTATCTATGCATGAAAAAGAGTATTTTACACTTTTAAAACTTGAGATATAATAGTGTATTCTATATGATATGAAAGATTTTGAGGGTATAAAGGTAAAAGTAAAATGTAGATATTAGACGTATAAATATACATAAGAGTAGCTTGGTATGTATGTAAAAGCCCCTTATTTCTATTATTATTTGGGAAATTTACATGTATATCACGCAATTCTTATGAATTTATATATCAAACACCCAAAGTTTGATGTTTGCGTCTGTATACTACAAAATAGTCATTATTGTTCGAAAAGGCGCTAATATGCTTGAGAAGAACTGCAAGTCAGAGAAGATGCTAGGGACCCTAACAACCCGGGTTTTTAAAAGGTGATATTAGGCTAGGTCTGGACTCTTTATGAACGCAACACTCCATTCATACAAAGTCCGAACCTAATATTTCCCTCCTTTTTAGACCCAATTTTCGAGTATCAAATATCCAATACCATCTGACAAGTAACAAATGTCAAGTACCAGTTTCTGCTAAGGACGTATCCCCTATCTATGTCATTTTAGTGAAAACTTATTTAATATATTCTCTTTGTAACCTGACAGAAGAACGGAATATGGCAAGCTCTATAAATAAAGATAATATACTATTCATAAAAGGATTCAACGACACTTA